TGTGTGTGTGGAGAGAGAGAGAGAGAGAGAGAGAGAGAGATACTAGGCCACCCTTAGAAAGCTGGGCACCAAAGAAAACAACTGGGAGGCATCCAGAGGACAATGCCAGAAGGTGAAGGAAATAATTACTTTCAATACCTCTTATAGAGGTAACCAGGTGACTGGATGTGGTTAAAACAACTTCTCAGTGAGCAACTGAGATTGCACACACCAGCCACAGTTGCCGTGAGCACCAAACAGTCTCTGTGCTGTGCAAGGCAGTAAAGGGAAACAAGAATCTCCTCTACTTGGGGGAGGTCGGCAGGGGGGATGAATGGGTAAGAAAGACTCCGCTACCCAGGGCTGAAAACAGAAAACTGGACAGCTTCCCCAACCAGGAGGCCAGACCTGAGGCAGGGGCCCAGACATGGCCTTCTCTCATTCCCCCAACCAGCTCCCCCGACCCCCCACTCCCACCATGTCGTCCCCAGGGAGAAAAGCAAACACTGCCTTTCAACCAGCCCAGGGGAGGGGTTTTCAGGGAAGAGCTGACCTCAAGACCAGGCTTCACGCTGCCCCTTCTGCATTTTACCTATCCCCATTTGGGCACCGCCCTTCCTGTGGGCCCTTTCCCCTCCAGATGTCAAGCAGCTTCTCCCCCTGCTCCCCAAGTCCTAGGTGACTCACTCATGGTTCCAGGCCCAGATGCCCAGGCAATGACTCAGCGGCACACCCTGCTCCCCAGAGCCAGAGCAACAGCCGGAAACCCCAGCCCACAAGTACCGGTGTGAAGCCCCTCACCAGGCAGATGCCAGGGAGATGAGGATGTCAGATACCACAGAGAGCTGAGCTGAGAGTTTGCAGGTCAGCTGGTCTCTGCCTGGGTCACCAGGGAAGCCAGCCTAGACAGCATGGATGAAATGGGATTGGGGGAAGGGAGGGCAGTGTTCTCTTCTACTCTTCTGCAAGGTCACCCAGTGTCCCCCACCTCCCCCAAGGCTATGAGCTCCTCGTGTTGCTCCTCCTCCATCACAACCTACTTCAGGTAGAACTCAGTAAATATCCTTCACCCAAGGAAGGGCCAAGGAGAGCAATGCACTGCTGCTCCCAGCAATTCATCTCTGCCCTCAGCGTCAGCACATCCCTGTGAGCTCAGACACTGCATTGCGTCCCCACGTCTCTTCCATAAGGTAGACGGTGAAACACTCCATACTCTAGCACCCACTGTACTCCATCCAGCCTTCCCACTGCCCCCTCATTTTCTAAACTGGGCTGCAAGCACCCAGTGTGACCCTTATCTTCCCTCATCGTCCTGCTCAGGATGTGCCCACACACCCCCATCATGTCTTCTGCTGAGATTCCATCTACTGTTCAAAGGCCACTTAAATGCCACCTACTTCATGGAGCCTTCCCCAACCAACCAGAGGCAGTATCTACCTTCTCTAATCCCTACAAAGCACCCTCTGTGCCCTCCCTTCTATCCCTGGAGCATTCCTATTTAGGTAGAATTGGTGTGTGCTTGTTTTCGCTCACCCTCACCACCTCATGGTGAGATCACTGGTAAAGAACTGGGTCTTACTCGTTTCTGTGTGAGCACAGCATCTCGCCCACACATGGTGCCTACTAGTGTTTATGGCTGCTCGGTGGCACCTGGGGTCACTGGAGGTGCTTGGATAGGAGGTAGTGGACAGGAGCCAGGGGCTCAGGGAGCCTTTGCCTGCCTGCCTGCCTGCCTGCCTGAAATCACACCCCTTCATAGACTGGCAAATAGTAACTTCGCCTCTGAGTCCCAGGAGTGGAACTAAGATACAGAGTTGGAAAACAGAGCTTTAGAGAGCTACAAATCCCTGAGGAGTGACCACAGGAAACATCTTGCCACAGGGACCCAGAGAAGGAGCTGAGCAAAGTCCCCAGAGGGCAGGGATGGAGCCTGGAGGCAGACAAAGAGGAACAGAGAGATCAGGATGAAAGAGTCAAGGGGAGGGGCTGGAGAGATGGCTCAGTGGTTAAGAACACTGGTTGTTCTTGCAGAAGACCCAGGTTCGAATCCCAGCACCCACATAACAGCTAACAAGTGTCCGTAACTCCAGTTCCAGGGAATCTGACAGGCCCTTCTGTCCTCCGCGGGCATTGCACGACAAGGGTGCACTTACCTACATGCAGGCAATACACGCATACACGTAAAATAAAAGTAATTTTAAAAAAAGAGAGTCAAGGAAAGAGAGAGGAAAACTGGGGGACTAAATCAAACAGAAATAGAATAGGGGGTCAGGAGAGATGGCTCAACAGTTAAGAGCACTGGCTGCTCTTGCAGAGGACCAGAGTTAGGTTCCCAGCACCCACATGGCAGCTAACAACCATCTGTAACTCCAGTTCCAGGGGATCTGATGCCCTCTTCTGATCTCCATGGGCATTGTATGACACAGGTGCTCTTACACACATACAGGTAATACACTCATACACATAAAATAAAAGACAAAGAAGGACAAGGAACTAGGGAGAGATGAACAAGATGGGAGAGGGGGGCTCGAAGGAGTCAATAGCACTTGGATACCTGTCCACACCAGGTGTCTCATCTCAGAAACAGAGGCCAGATATGTGCCCATCCAATGGCAGTGTTCCCCAGACTGTGAAAGTCAGACTCATTTGCCACTGATTTGCTGTGTGATCTTGAGCAAATGCACCTGCAGCAGCAGGACAGGTAATGTTGGGTGGATGACCCCCAGAGTCCTATGTCTGTTCTGACATTCTCCAGAGAACCCAGGACAGGTGCAGGCAGTGGAGGCATCCAAGGCGCTGGCTACCCACATCCAGCCCAAGCTGAATGCGCACCTTCCATTCACTCCCTTGGAGACTCTATGGCAGTTTCCCCGGCTGTTTTGTCTGTTTGGTTTCTGCCCCCTGGTGGTTAAGATCTGTCATTGCAATGTGGGTCTCTGTTCTGCCTGTCCAACAGCTAGCTGGTCCCATGCCCCAGCCCTGACTCACCCAGGAGGAGGCAGTGGTGATTCATCTCCAAGGAGCCTTCCCACACCTACACTTGCTTCGCATAGAAGGGGTTTCCTGGACAGTCCCTGCTGAGAAGCCTACGTGGACTAAAATGAAAGCCAGATACTACCCAGGAGCTGTTTCAACGGCCTAGAGTAGGGATGGGGACAAAAGGGAGCAGGTGTGAGAAATAAGGCCATGGACACTACCAAGGTCAGCCCACCCACCCCTTTCCTGGGGCAGCTCAGTGGAAAGAGAAACGGCCTCTCTAGCAAGGTCCCAAGTGTAAGTCCTGGTGTTACCTCTGACTCACCCTGTGATACTGGATGAGTTGTACCATACCTCTAAGCCTAAACTTTTCACCACAAGGATATTTATTATATCCTGTCCCACAAATGAAGCTTTGAATTTTTTTCTTATCAGGTTGCATTAAATCATTCATCATCTCCATTTTATTAATCACACTGGAGACTCCCCGTGGTTGCATGGTCAACACCAGAGAACCCACGGCTCACACTGGGTTCAGACATTCTGGATTTCTGTTCCTTATGGGCACCCGCATTCCTGTGGCAGGAGAACATAATGGAGCACCTACTGTGTGCCAAGGGTTTTCCATAGATTATGCCACTTAGTTCATAAGATAGTACCAGGACAGTGGCCAATCTCACCCCACTTGACAAAGAAAACCGAGCTCAGGGAAGTGTGCCCATACAACAAATAAGGGAGAAGGCAAGACTTAAACGCAGATGGTTTAACAGTGTTGAACCTCTTCTGTGAGCTTCAAACATCAGTGATGCCAGGAGGTCCCAACATTCAGTTCTTGCTGAGACCAGCCTCAGTCTGCCCAGCACAGTGATCTCAGCTCTCAGCCTCACTGGGGGCCAAGAGTCCATCTTCTCAGAAAAGGTTCTGGAACCTTTTCCTGTTGTCTTCAAGTGCACTGTGGCCTGGACTTGAAATAAACTGAAAAGAAACATTTCTCAGCTTTCCCAACTCCCAATGAAGACTGGGGCTTATTTATTTCTGAATGAACACAGCATCTCTCCCAGACAAGGTGCCTGCCAATGTTTATGCTGCTGAGTGGGAACTGGGATCACTGTGGGTAGTGGGTAGGAGCCAGGGAGTGAGGGAGGCCTTGCCCTCCTCACTGCCTGAAATCACACCACTGAGTATACTAGCAAATAACTTCTCTGAGCCCCTGGAATGGAACTGAGACACAGTTGGTAAACAGAGCCTTGGAGAGCTACCAATCCCTGAGGAGTGACCACAGGAAACATCATGCCACTGGGACCCAGAGAAGGAACTGAGCAAAGTCCCCAGAGGGACAGGAACAGAGCCTGGAGGCAGACAAAGAGGGACAGAGAGGCGGTCAGAAGAGTCAGGCTTCCCGTGCCACAAAGAACACCGCCATCCACCCAAGGCCTAAATCAGACACTTGGCTTCCTCCCAGCCTCCTGCTTCCCCTGACTGCTATCCAGATGTCCAGTCAGTCCACTTGTTGTTTCCAAATATGCCTGGGCGCTGTCCACACTGCCTTAGACGTCATCCAAACCATGTAGCTGTGCTACAGATAGATTCTGCACAGATTCTA